CAATTTCTTCAGCTAAATTTACAGCAGGTGGTGACAAGGTTATTTTCACTGGAAATACCGGTTCTTTCAGAGTGAGTGATTTTTGCGGATCTATGTTAAACAATGCACTTCACATTTTTTGCCATGTTTACACAGGAATCATATGGATGATTGAGGTTGCTCGCAATAGTATTTACTGTTTCGAATTCGTTAAATATATCAAAGAGGTTGTTCAAGGATACAGTTAATGTTCCAATGCAGCAAAACATTCAAGCAAGGCAGAAGTATAATTTCGCCACAACCAGAAATATATCGCGCCTTGTTCAAGGCGATTTTGCTGGACCACTATGCAGGATGTAATTCAGAGTTTGGGCTGGTTCATTTTCCTAATAGTTAAAGGGTTTTCATATGCATTATGAGAAATCTCACACTACTATGACCCGGCGACGCCATCTATTCTGTCGTGTTACCCCACAACGGATCTCAAGTGACACTGTCTGTCAGCCAATTCTCAGAAACTGTCAATGTCCAGCTCTTACTACACTGGACCTCACGCTCTCCCTGGAAGGCTTTCAGAAACAATTTGTACTAACCAACACGAAAAAACCAGAACACAGATCGGCGACTCGAGAATCCTTTATTCTCACGCCAATATGTAACCAACAATAAGGTTATTACACACAAGATTTCTGATAGTTTTCTCTCTTTCACTGAGTGGCGAACGATAAGTCGATGACTGCTGGACTGATGACTCCGGCGAAAAATATGGAGGAGATGGGTTTCAGCAAACAACCACGAATTGATCGTTCAACCTTCAACTACATTGACACCGTCGGTACTCCGAAATGCCTTGAAGTCACCACGTCATGCCTTAACTCCTATCACTTAGGGATTCCTGACCAAACGATTTGGCAAGAAGTGTTATCGACAACAATAATCAAGATTTCAAGAAGGTGAATAGTTGATGAAAGAAACATTCAATAAATATTTGTCACACTATCATGTGGCAATGAATCCTTCTGACCTAAATCACTTGTCTTCATCAGGAATTATATTTAATCGAAAGTCAAAACTGTCCCTGACGATTTCAAGCGTGGGTGGATAAAACATAGCTATAGGTTTATGGAAGTTTAATGCAGTTTAACTGTCATGGTATTAAGCGTAGATTCTTTGGGTTGAAGCAACATGTACCTAAATGTCGTTGATCTCCCGCAAAACGGACTTTCGCGTGAGCAGTAAGGAGAACAGAAAGTGTTCGGCACAAAACAGAAGTACAAATACTGATTTCGAGCGGACACACTAACCTTATACCAGATAAACTGGAGAAGTTAAAAACAAAAATAAACTAGACTTCACTGCATAAGTTTCAGAGGATGGTTCTAGTTTTCCGCAAACAGAAACAAAACGATTGATATAAGTCTTCAAATGCTCCCACTGCAGACCGATTAGAAGAAGAGGACCCAGACCTTTACAGTAAAATTTCCTCTGGACTGATACAAGTATGTAGGGAATGCAATAAGAGGCGAACAAAACTAGGGTGCAGAAATGGAAAATTATTTGTTTTTATCCTACATTCACGTTGATACGTAGATATGTTAATTTCAATGGACAGTATTTGACCTCATATGGAATCACTGACTATGTACAGCTATACTTGTTTACTTGTTTAATTCTGTCGAATGTCCTCTGCGATTCCTCCGACCAAACAAACTTCGGCTCACCTAGTAGCCTGTGCAGAGGGGCTGCTATCTCATTGAAGTTCTTCACGAATTGACTATAAAACGCCGCTCTACCCAAGAATTGCCTCAATTTTCTCTTTGAATTCGGGGCTGGAATCGTTTTAATCGTCAAAATTTTCTCCGGTAGTGGTTTAATCTCACCATTTCCCACTTTATGTCCCAACAGAGTAACATTCTTTTTGGCTATCTGGGACTTGGTTTTGTTGATGCGCAGTCCAAACTCTTCGATGCGTCGCAGCACGGCTTCTACATGGTTCACATGATCGTTTTCGTTTTGACTGTATATGACGAGATCATCACCATACACCTCCACGTTTTTCAAGTTCTTAAGTAATAGCATCATCAGCCTTCTGAACGTAAACGGTGCACCTGCTAGTCCAAACGGCATGCGTTTAAATCGATATTGTGTCTGGCCCACGATGAATGCCGTCTTATCTCTATCACCTGGTTTTATCGGTATCTGCCAGTATCCTGAGCGAAGATCGAAAACCGAAAACACATTCGCGCCTTGTAGGCGATCTAAAGTTTCTACCACTGTTGGCATGGCACACGGTCTTAACTCTGTCATACTGTTTAACTGTCGAAAATCAACACAGAATCTATACTTCCCATTCGCTTTCTTTACTAACAGCACTGGAGAGTTGTACGGGCTATCAGCTTCCTCAATAATATCGTCTTTTAACATCTCTTGCACTTGTCGCTCCACTTCGCCTTCCAGATGACATGGAATTCTTCGCGTTGTAAATGACCTTACTTTTGGATCACTTAACGGAATTTCATGATTCACCTTGTCGCAATAACCGTATGGGTCGCCATCTCCAGTGAACAGATGATCGTATTTATTAATTAAATCTGTCATATTGTATACCGTCGACAGCTTCACCGCTGCTATCTCGCTGGTCTCATACATGTTGATATGCCCGTATTTCGTGATCACCACGTTCGCTTGCGTGTCGATTATTGCACCAATCTCACGCAGAAAATCCGCTCCTAATATCGTTCGCTGTAGTTCGGGTACAACAATGAAAGGAAACGTCACCTCGCAGCCGCCAACAACGACCGTACAGTTCGATCTACCCGTTATACGCAACACATGCCCGCCTACTGTTTGTACTGTCAATGAACACGGACTAACACTCTTACATAAATTCTTCTCTATTAACGACACGGCCGCCCCTGTATCTACTAAACATACTACTTCTCGATCATTCACTCGCAACTTCGAATACACAGCCCCTTTCTCAATAGCGCCCACTAAATCTAGGTTCATACGAGAGAAAGAACAAGTATTATACCGTCTGAAATTTTTTCTTTTTCGCCTTTCTGGGCAGTATCTTCTCCAGTGTCCCGGCTTACCGCATTCAAAACATCGGTCTTTTCTATCACCCAACTTTAACGCCGCCACTTCCCGCTGCAATGCTTCAATTTTCTGCTCATATTCATTTGGTTTTGGCTGCTCTATAGCGGCTACAGTTGTGCTCAGCAGCTGTCTGGTCACCTTCGCTAGCTCACTAATATCCATCGGTTGCGTTGCGTTAACCAGTTTTAATTGCTGAGAAATGTGGTCTGGGACACTCTCGATGAATTGGGAAGATAGTAACTGCTCTGCTGATTCTTTATCCAACGTGGGAAGCGCCCGTCGAAGTAAATTCGTCAATGTCACCGCCAATACTAACGGGTCTCCATCAGGTCCCAGCTTCGTTGACCGGAACTGCTGCATCGCTAGCTGTCTGTCTGTTGCGCTGTCAAACTCCGACACCAAACTTTCAACCAATTTCTTCCAAGACACTGTGCCATTTGACCTGTCTACGCTGTCATATGCCGCCTTCGCTCGGCCTCTCAACAGCGTCCCCAGAACAACTGTCTTCGCCGCCTGCTCCTTGACACCCACCAGCTCAGCGACGGCCTCGAAGTCACGTAAGAAGCTCTGTATGTCTCCTTCTTCAAACGCAGTTGGCCACGGGATCTTCAATTTTCTGGAGGCAGCGACACCAAATGTAACAACAGAAGACAAGGGCTGGCAACAGATCGTTTTATTACGAAAATCAACGCGTATTTATATATATTTTATGTACATTAATAAGGCTTATGTAAGCAGAAAAAGGCAGCCTTCTAATTGGTTGTTTTTCTCGGAAGTTAAGCAGACAAACACAGTCTGCTGTGATTGGTTGTTGAATCAGCCTAGATTAATGTCTACAAATTGGCTAGCAGCCTGCTGTCACCACAGATGTTCTGCATTTTGGTACTGATACAGTTAGTTTATTCACCTACTGATGTGTCGTAATTTTAGATATGTTGGAAGCCATGTTTGAAGTCATTTTATCTGAAAAAGTTTTCCTTCTAGTCAGGGGCTAGTCTTTAACTTCTGATATAACCATAGCTCATTCAGACAGAAACACTTTGAGGGAGGGCAGTGGTATTTGGGAATCAAAATAGTAGCTTCGTACCGAAATGCTAATTCGTCTGGTCACCACAGAACCCCAGTAGGTTCGTGGAAAACAAGGATTGCAAACACGAAACACCTAGGGGTCAGAAAAACGTCTGTGTACGTCCTTCATTCATAGAAGAGAAAGAATTATCCTGAGGGATTGCTAACGAAAAAAAGAAAAAATATTTTGCAAAGGTAAAACCTACGACAATACACTTCACTGTATGCCTAATATAAACGTTAGAACTATAAAAACTCCCTACTGATGCCACCTCCCAGTATAGTTACAAATTTACGTGCACTTGTGATGGTAAGTAGATTGGACGAACTATAAGGAAATATCCTTCGCAGTTTTATGAGCCCACCTCAATGAGTTCGTGCGTGAAGGAGAGAAAACATTTACAAAGCCCAGTTACAAGACAAGCCAAAACTATTAAATTCTTCAAAATGCACAGTGGGCATAGTCACGTAGTCAAAGTGCATTCAATTCAAACATATAACTTGAAGAGAAATCTACATAAAACATGATCAACATAATTCCATCCTTTCGCATAAGGTGTTACAGAATTGACCTAAATGTCTATGGGAGGTTGTTATTTTAAAAACAACTACCAAAAATGATAGTGAACACAATGCCTGATGAAAATTACTTGTACGATATCCCTACTCAGACTAAAAAAGAGTCATGGCTATTGATGAAGATTTATCGAATATGGTACCGAAATGAAGAATACTTTCATGATTACCATATGATAACATTATTCAAAGAAGGTACTATGGCATTGTTTTAATGACCTAATTAGGAAGTACCTTCCACAAACACTATAAATAGGCGGTCAGTGCCATAGTCATCCATCTTCATATCTTTAATCAAATCCCAAGAAAATGCAGATATTCGTGAAGACGTTGACTGGTAAGACGATTACGTTGGAGGTGGAGCCTAGTGATACGATCGAGAATGTGAAGGCGAAGATCCAAGACAAGGAAGGTATTCCTCCAGACCAACAACGTTTGATTTTTGCTGGTAAGCAGTTGGAAGATGGTCGTACTCTGTCCGATTACAACATCCAGAAAGAGTCAACATTGCATCTGGTTCTCCGTCTGCGTGGTGGTATGCAGATCTTCGTGAAGACATTGACTGGTAAGACGATTACGTTGGAGGTGGAGCCTAGTGATACGATCGAGAATGTGAAGGCGAAGATCCAAGACAAGGAAGGTATTCCTCCAGACCAACAACGTTTGATTTTTGCTGGTAAGCAGTTGGAAGATGGTCGTACTCTGTCCGATTACAACATCCAGAAAGAGTCAACATTGCATCTGGTTCTCCGTCTGCGTGGTGGTATGCAGATCTTCGTGAAGACATTGACTGGTAAGACGATTACGTTGGAGGTGGAGCCTAGTGATACGATCGAGAATGTGAAGGCGAAGATCCAAGACAAGGAAGGTATTCCTCCAGACCAACAACGTTTGATTTTTGCTGGTAAGCAGTTGGAAGATGGTCGTACTCTGTCCGATTACAACATCCAGAAAGAGTCAACATTGCATCTGGTTCTCCGTCTGCGTGGTGGTATGCAGATCTTCGTGAAGACATTGACTGGTAAGACGATTACGTTGGAGGTGGAGCCTAGTGATACGATCGAGAATGTGAAGGCGAAGATCCAAGACAAGGAAGGTATTCCTCCAGACCAACAACGTTTGATTTTTGCTGGTAAGCAGTTGGAAGATGGTCGTACTCTGTCCGATTACAACATCCAGAAAGAGTCAACATTGCATCTGGTTCTCCGTCTGCGTGGTGGTATGCAGATCTTCGTGAAGACATTGACTGGTAAGACGATTACGTTGGAGGTGGAGCCTAGTGATACGATCGAGAATGTGAAGGCGAAGATCCAAGACAAGGAAGGTATTCCTCCAGACCAACAACGTTTGATTTTTGCTGGTAAGCAGTTGGAAGATGGTCGTACTCTGTCCGATTACAACATCCAGAAAGAGTCAACATTGCATCTGGTTCTCCGTCTGCGTGGTGGTATGCAGATCTTCGTGAAGACATTGACTGGTAAGACGATTACGTTGGAGGTGGAGCCTAGTGATACGATCGAGAATGTGAAGGCGAAGATCCAAGACAAGGAAGGTATTCCTCCAGACCAACAACGTTTGATTTTTGCTGGTAAGCAGTTGGAAGATGGTCGTACTCTGTCCGATTACAACATCCAGAAAGAGTCAACATTGCATCTGGTTCTCCGTCTGCGTGGTGGTATGCAGATCTTCGTGAAGACATTGACTGGTAAGACGATTACGTTGGAGGTGGAGCCTAGTGATACGATCGAGAATGTGAAGGCGAAGATCCAAGACAAGGAAGGTATTCCTCCAGACCAACAACGTTTGATTTTTGCTGGTAAGCAGTTGGAAGATGGTCGTACTCTGTCCGATTACAACATCCAGAAAGAGTCAACATTGCATCTGGTTCTCCGTCTGCGTGGTGGTATGCAGATCTTCGTGAAGACATTGACTGGTAAGACGATTACGTTGGAGGTGGAGCCTAGTGATACGATCGAGAATGTGAAGGCGAAGATCCAAGACAAGGAAGGTATTCCTCCAGACCAACAACGTTTGATTTTTGCTGGTAAGCAGTTGGAAGATGGTCGTACTCTGTCCGATTACAACATCCAGAAAGAGTCAACATTGCATCTGGTTCTCCGTCTGCGTGGTGGTATGCAGATCTTCGTGAAGACATTGACTGGTAAGACGATTACGTTGGAGGTGGAGCCTAGTGATACGATCGAGAATGTGAAGGCGAAGATCCAAGACAAGGAAGGTATTCCTCCAGACCAACAACGTTTGATTTTTGCTGGTAAGCAGTTGGAAGATGGTCGTACTCTGTCCGATTACAACATCCAGAAAGAGTCAACATTGCATCTGGTTCTCCGTCTGCGTGGTGGTATGCAGATCTTCGTGAAGACATTGACTGGTAAGACGATTACGTTGGAGGTGGAGCCTAGTGATACGATCGAGAATGTGAAGGCGAAGATCCAAGACAAGGAAGGTATTCCTCCAGACCAACAACGTTTGATTTTTGCTGGTAAGCAGTTGGAAGATGGTCGTACTCTGTCCGATTACAACATCCAGAAAGAGTCAACATTGCATCTGGTTCTCCGTCTGCGTGGTGGTATGCAGATCTTCGTGAAGACATTGACTGGTAAGACGATTACGTTGGAGGTGGAGCCTAGTGATACGATCGAGAATGTGAAGGCGAAGATCCAAGACAAGGAAGGTATTCCTCCAGACCAACAACGTTTGATTTTTGCTGGTAAGCAGTTGGAAGATGGTCGTACTCTGTCCGATTACAACATCCAGAAAGAGTCAACATTGCATCTGGTTCTCCGTCTGCGTGGTGGTATGCAGATCTTCGTGAAGACATTGACTGGTAAGACGATTACGTTGGAGGTGGAGCCTAGTGATACGATCGAGAATGTGAAGGCGAAGATCCAAGACAAGGAAGGTATTCCTCCAGACCAACAACGTTTGATTTTTGCTGGTAAGCAGTTGGAAGATGGTCGTACTCTGTCCGATTACAACATCCAGAAAGAGTCAACATTGCATCTGGTTCTCCGTCTGCGTGGTGGTATGCAGATCTTCGTGAAGACATTGACTGGTAAGACGATTACGTTGGAGGTGGAGCCTAGTGATACGATCGAGAATGTGAAGGCGAAGATCCAAGACAAGGAAGGTATTCCTCCAGACCAACAACGTTTGATTTTTGCTGGTAAGCAGTTGGAAGATGGTCGTACTCTGTCCGATTACAACATCCAGAAAGAGTCAACATTGCATCTGGTTCTCCGTCTGCGTGGTGGTATGCAGATATTCGTGAAGACATTGACTGGTAAGACGATTACGTTGGAGGTGGAGCCTAGTGATACGATCGAGAATGTGAAGGCGAAGATCCAAGACAAGGAAGGTATTCCTCCAGACCAACAACGTTTGATTTTTGCTGGTAAGCAGTTGGAAGATGGTCGTACTCTGTCCGATTACAACATCCAGAAAGAGTCAACATTGCATCTGGTTCTCCGTCTGCGTGGTGGTATGCAGATCTTCGTGAAGACATTGACTGGTAAGACGATTACGTTGGAGGTGGAGCCTAGTGATACGATCGAGAATGTGAAGGCGAAGATCCAAGACAAGGAAGGTATTCCTCCAGACCAACAACGTTTGATTTTTGCTGGTAAGCAGTTGGAAGATGGTCGTACTCTGTCCGATTACAACATCCAGAAAGAGTCAACATTGCATCTGGTTCTCCGTCTGCGTGGTGGTATGCAGATCTTCGTGAAGACATTGACTGGTAAGACGATTACGTTGGAGGTGGAGCCTAGTGATACGATCGAGAATGTGAAGGCGAAGATCCAAGACAAGGAAGGTATTCCTCCAGACCAACAACGTTTGATTTTTGCTGGTAAGCAGTTGGAAGATGGTCGTACTCTGTCCGATTACAACATCCAGAAAGAGTCAACATTGCATCTGGTTCTCCGTCTGCGTGGTGGTATGCAGATCTTCGTGAAGACATTGACTGGTAAGACGATTACGTTGGAGGTGGAGCCTAGTGATACGATCGAGAATGTGAAGGCGAAGATCCAAGACAAGGAAGGTATTCCTCCAGACCAACAACGTTTGATTTTTGCTGGTAAGCAGTTGGAAGATGGTCGTACTCTGTCCGATTACAACATCCAGAAAGAGTCAACATTGCATCTGGTTCTCCGTCTGCGTGGTGGTATGCAGATCTTCGTGAAGACATTGACTGGTAAGACGATTACGTTGGAGGTGGAGCCTAGTGATACGATCGAGAATGTGAAGGCGAAGATCCAAGACAAGGAAGGTATTCCTCCAGACCAACAACGTTTGATTTTTGCTGGTAAGCAGTTGGAAGATGGTCGTACTCTGTCCGATTACAACATCCAGAAAGAGTCAACATTGCATCTGGTTCTCCGTCTGCGTGGTGGTATGCAGATCTTCGTGAAGACATTGACTGGTAAGACGATTACGTTGGAGGTGGAGCCTAGTGATACGATCGAGAATGTGAAGGCGAAGATCCAAGACAAGGAAGGTATTCCTCCAGACCAACAACGTTTGATTTTTGCTGGTAAGCAGTTGGAAGATGGTCGTACTCTGTCCGATTACAACATCCAGAAAGAGTCAACATTGCATCTGGTTCTCCGTCTGCGTGGTGGTATGCAGATCTTCGTGAAGACATTGACTGGTAAGACGATTACGTTGGAGGTGGAGCCTAGTGATACGATCGAGAATGTGAAGGCGAAGATCCAAGACAAGGAAGGTATTCCTCCAGACCAACAACGTTTGATTTTTGCTGGTAAGCAGTTGGAAGATGGTCGTACTCTGTCCGATTACAACATCCAGAAAGAGTCAACATTGCATCTGGTTCTCCGTCTGCGTGGTGGTATGCAGATCTTCGTGAAGACATTGACTGGTAAGACGATTACGTTGGAGGTGGAGCCTAGTGATACGATCGAGAATGTGAAGGCGAAGATCCAAGACAAGGAAGGTATTCCTCCAGACCAACAACGTTTGATTTTTGCTGGTAAGCAGTTGGAAGATGGTCGTACTCTGTCCGATTACAACATCCAGAAAGAGTCAACATTGCATCTGGTTCTCCGTCTGCGTGGTGGTATGCAGATCTTCGTGAAGACATTGACTGGTAAGACGATTACGTTGGAGGTGGAGCCTAGTGATACGATCGAGAATGTGAAGGCGAAGATCCAAGACAAGGAAGGTATTCCTCCAGACCAACAACGTTTGATTTTTGCTGGTAAGCAGTTGGAAGATGGTCGTACTCTGTCCGATTACAACATCCAGAAAGAGTCAACATTGCATCTGGTTCTCCGTCTGCGTGGTGGTATGCAGATCTTCGTGAAGACATTGACTGGTAAGACGATTACGTTGGAGGTGGAGCCTAGTGATACGATCGAGAATGTGAAGGCGAAGATCCAAGACAAGGAAGGTATTCCTCCAGACCAACAACGTTTGATTTTTGCTGGTAAGCAGTTGGAAGATGGTCGTACTCTGTCCGATTACAACATCCAGAAAGAGTCAACATTGCATCTGGTTCTCCGTCTGCGTGGTGGTATGCAGATCTTCGTGAAGACATTGACTGGTAAGACGATTACGTTGGAGGTGGAGCCTAGTGATACGATCGAGAATGTGAAGGCGAAGATCCAAGACAAGGAAGGTATTCCTCCAGACCAACAACGTTTGATTTTTGCTGGTAAGCAGTTGGAAGATGGTCGTACTCTGTCCGATTACAACATCCAGAAAGAGTCAACATTGCATCTGGTTCTTCGTCTTCGTGGTGGTTAATAATTTTCATTGACTATGCTAATTTAAATATATTTTAGTTTTAATTTTAGTTCAATCTGTAGTTTTCATTTCGTAGTTTTTTCATTGCGTTTTGAGTTCGTCAGGTATTAGAGTGATCTTGCTTCGTGCTTGGGTACGGTTTGCTTGTTGCATATGATTTGGGTCGGCCTGTATTCGCGTAAATCTGGGTGTCCGTTTTTCTACAGGATTTGCGGGTGGTTTGTATAATCGTGGTCGAACGCAGGCACTATCCCATAATGGCATCGGTGCTCTTCGTATCGGTTAGTGTGATACGCAAGGACGCGGTGGTGTGTTCACAATTCACTATCGTGGGACTGTTCTGGCACTAATCGGTTATGACAGTATGTTACTTATGCGTTGTTTGCAGGACATGAGACAGTGTGATGGCTGGTGACAATAATAATAAGTTACTCTCTAAGTCCGTATTTTATTATTATGACATGCGACAGTTCCGTAAGAGATATTTCAGCCAAAAGTGTGTATTTAGTTCATACGCTAATGCTATAATCAAGTCATGTATGTCATATCTAATATCAGTGCAAATGTTTGATAGGTTTTGTTTTGTGTTTATTTTATTACTGCTCGTACAGAAGCAAAAAGAAATTAAAGTTCCGTAGTGTTAGACAAAAATAGTGTTTCACAAACTGCAGAGGGCAGTTCGCCTTAATTCGTATTACTTCACGTAGAATTATTGTAATAGCACATTGTTGTTCATTATTCAAACATGAGGTGGTCCTCATGTGCATTTAATTTCAACTTATGTGGATGAGTTACTTTGTAATTCTATATAGATGAACCATTCTCAATAGCAAAATAGGTCATCTCAACTACATCGAGTCATGACAAATAGAATTAACAGCTCACACGTTTGAACTCTACAGGAAGTAGCATTCAAGAATATGACTTTTTTCCATCTTTGTTTATCGAAACTTATCAAGGGAACCAAATGTATGAAATCGTGCACTAGTGGTGCACTTAGCATTTCCTAACTTTCCATGGTCTGTATTGATATTGGGTAATACTGCTTTCGTTGGTGAAGTCGTCGTAAAGTTATGTTAGGCAGTCTCAATAGGGGTATTTCTTTTCATTCACATACTGTATTTTGTAAAGATTTCGTATTTTTTAAGTCAAAATGTTCTTGGTTCCCGATCAACTGTTCATCCTATTAAAAACATTTAAGAATACGATAACATGTTAAGAGGTCTCAACTTATACTTGTGGTATGCAATACAGCGGAGGAGTAGGCTAGAAGTGGTGGAACTCTTACTTATTCTAGAAAGCAGTTTCACTGACTCTGCATTCGATGCAACGGCATATATTGACAAATACAGTTCAGTACTGACTATTCGGCGTTAAGGCAATGGTCATTCAAATAATTATCTCTAGATAAATGGAATGGTTGATTTAGTGTGTATCTCGATTGATAACTGAGAACGCAGTTACTATCGTCGACTCACAAATATTTGTATTCCATACTTTATTCAATCAGTAGTATTTTAGGAAACCTAGAAGGATTGTGCGGTGGTGTCAGTCAGGGATACCCATTATCCCCTAACTCACTTCAGAGACTCGAGGATTGACTTGCTACCAGGGAATAATCTCGCTGACTTGGAATATGCAGACGGTATAGTCGAGGACGCTGACAAAATGCAGAGTCTTCTGAACACCTTGAGCTGCAATCTACGAATGTGTGGCATGCGATTCGCTCCCGCCGAATGTAAGATGATGTTACAGAACTGGACTATATTAACTCCTAGTTTAGAAATAGGGAGTGAAGTGGTGGAGCACGTTGACCGCCTCACTTAGGAACTACCATCAGCCTCAACGGGTTGATCTCTGACAAAATCTCAGCACGGATACAGAGGGCTAGTTTCACATATGTCAGTTTACGCCGTCTCTGGCGTAGACGTGATATCCGGCTTTCGACCAAAGAGCGAGTGTACTGCTCAGCAGTTCGCTCCGTTCTCCTTGATCGCTGCGAGATCTGGCCATTGAGAGTGGAAGACATGAAAAGATTAGCTGTCTTTGACCGTAGGTGCCTGTGCTCTATCTCCCGTGTGAAATGGTATAATAAGGTGAGCAATATGTGAGGTAAGGCGTCGAGTGCTAGGTAAGGAGGGGAAATCAATCAATCGGCAAGGCTGTGAAGCTACATCGACTGAGATGGTTAGGACATGAGTGACGTATGCCAAGCCATCGTCTCCCTCGACGAGCAATGTTAGCGGATATAGGGGCAGGCTGGAAAAAAGCTAGCGGCGGTCTAACAAAAACTTGGCACCAGTCAATGAAATCCACAACAGTTGGTCTAAGCCACGTAGGAAGGCGTAGACTTCCAGGCTGGGGTCCTCGGGACGGTAAAAATCTATGGTTGGAAACAATTGGTGACATGGCTCAAAACCGTTCTCAGTGGCGCAGATGCATCCACTCCTTGTGACTTATGATTTCCAATGAAACTGTTTTGTTTTTCTTTATTACTCCTTTGTCTCACACCTCTGCTCACTGTCTCCATTATGCTTTTCTTGTACTTTCTTCTCTTGCTTTATGTGCTACATGGAGTGTGGCGACTTGAACTACCACACATATGTGCAAAGTTCTATGTCGAAAACAGACAGATAGAAGGATTGTATGACATGAAATGCTATGTTCATTAACAACTAAACTGTAGAATATGAGAGTATTTTATGTACACTGGTCTTTGGTCACGTTCTGTTTTTTCCTTCCTCACAAGAAGTTGCAATGGATTAGTGATGTAACGATTTGAAATAAGTTACCGACTTGATAATAGTACCGTTTATATCTGTTCGTATATGTTAAAATCACTCGGATTAATATGTTCGAATCTTAGTAATAGAGACAGAGTCGTGAGACGATTTCTGAATTGTTAACCGATTATGTTATGTGTATCCGCAGTTCGTTTGCTGCGGCTTCCAACCTATTCTAATTATTGTGGTTTAGGCGACCAGGTAATGGCATCAGTTTTCATGAAATAAACGTGGTTACTTGCTAGGTGCATACTGTGGTTCCAGGCTGTTTATTAATATGCTTTCATCAGTCACTCTTCCTAATTCTTGTGACTTTAATTACATTCTCCGTGGGTGATACTTTTCAACTTTAAAGATTATACGGCATATTGAACAGACACAAATATGTCTACTTGACTTAATTTATTGAATGAATTTGCCAATATATCCTAAACGGTGTTCGTCTAACTTGGAATCAACGTTGGAGTGATTGGAAACTAATCGTTCACCTATGCTGATACAGCTTACAAATATATGCTCGTAAATTCTAGTAATGTGCAGTCCTATTGAATATTTAGCTTCTGTTATTTCATGTAAAAGGTTACATGTACGCAGCCTACTTGTGAATATATGCTAACGGTATCAACGTTATATATATATATATATATATATATATATATATATATATATATATATATATATATATATATATATATATATATATATATATATATATATATATATATAATGTCGCGGAGATCCTATCGTCTTAGCAATTTCAATAGGAAAATGAGGCTATTTATCTGTCTTACGGCTGGTATTTTCACTCATATGCATACAGTATAACAGATGATTGAAGAAAATTAATATTGCAGCAGTGTTGAAACTACTGAGTGATCAATTTTTTCAAACTTGAGGTAGACGACTAACTCCCTAGTCCGATGACGTTTTTCCTGAATCCAGCTGGCACTGAGAGGAGTTTCCCATCCACAATATCTGTCAGTCTTTTTAAAATGATGTAACTTAATATTTTGCTTGGCATAGACAAGAGCACTATCCCGTGCCAGTTTTTTTAAAAAGTTTATGCCTCCCTTTGGTAGTCTGACAAAATAGTCTTCCTTATAATCAGTAGGCAGATTTTTTTCCTTACAAACTCCAACAATGGTGGGAACACATACTCTGAGGTCTCTGGATCCATTTTCCATGCTCCCTGAAGGATTCTGTTCGGTCCTATTGCCGTCTCAGCCTTCAATAACTTCATTGCATTCAAGGTTTCTGCTTCTGTCGTAGGACTGGTGTTCACTGGCAATTCTCTGTTATAAATGGTAGTGGTATTTCTCAACGGGCTGTAGATGGTAGTCAACTCAAGAGTTCGTTGAAGGGATCGCCTCAGTGTTTCCTTTATCTAACCGCTTTGGTAATTGGGACTCCTTAGAAGTCTTTCACTAGCTTCATTTGAGTCGATCTCATCCTAGCTACCGGACTGTTTTCCGTCAGTTGTCAGTGTGATATGAAAACAAATTTTGTCTTTCCACTACTATCAGCTTCCAGATGTTTACAGAGAGCCATCCTTCCTCTTATCTCTTCTTGCTGCCTAACGTTTATACAGGTCTCTTTCTACGCAGACTTAAGAGAGTTTCTGCGTTCTTCTTCGCTTATTTTCTCGGTGATGCTGCTCAAAACCTCAAATTTTATCCTGATAATTTCTGCAAAGGTTTCATTTTCAGCTTTCTTCTTCAGCTTTTTGAGTGTCGAGCTTGAATTATGATCTATCTGCAGCCTCTTTCGAGGCTTACAACTTGATCTTGGAGATTTCGTGTTCCAGATCATGATCTGTGTCCCAGTGGACCACATAGTTAACATCGTTGTCGATGGGCACTTGACTTCGTGCAATAAATTTGCTAAAGGGATTTTGTCTGACTTGGAGCATCCACTTTACCCTCAGCCTTCACCTTGCATCTCCTCAGGCAGAACAAGAAGTAACTTCAGAAAACTGTATGCTCCCACGTCTAAGTATAGAAATTCTATGATACCATACTTGGCACGTATTTTATGTGATGAAAATAGCGTCAGGCAAGAACTAACTAACCTTTTTTCATCTAGTAAATAAACAATTTCCTCCATCCATCCTTATATACCTTCAAGTTATACTTTTATTGTTTCTATTATATTTATGGTCCTGTTGCTTCTTTGTTTGTTTTACTCTCATAATCGCAAGCACCAACTTATCTCTATGACTGCTGTAATCTTTGTTTTTCCCCTCACCATATCATGTAAAGAGAAGATTATATTCAATATTTTTAAACATGTTAGGATTTCTATACCATATTGTCAATATTGTGTGAAACAAGCCCACAGTAATTTTCACTTGTATTATTATTATTACCCTAGCTGTTATCATTATTATTATTTCCATTTTATATCCTGCATGTTTTTGACATTACCTCTATTGTAAATGTGGAAAATTTTCTGTGTGATTAATTTTATTTATAATTTGAGGAAATTAGATGCAATATTGTGATTAATGCTGAAAATTCCATTCTGTATCACAAGTACTGTCTTTGTAATAAAGTAAATTATTATTATTATTATCTACTCCTCTTCTTGATCTTATGTCCACTAAGCTGTATCTTCAATTTGAATTGCAACAAATAAAAATCGTGACAGTCTATCTATCAAATGTCACTTCTACCTTGCCAACTATGCTTGTCACGCGATTGTTATGTAAGCGCCAACCACTTA